TTCCCCAATCTATGTTTTTGCATGCTTTGTTGAAGCAAACAAACTGTTAAGGCCAACTGTTGCTCAGTTTGCCTTAAGTATTTAGCTTTATTTTTGGGTTCTCTATTCTGTTACATTGGTCTATATACCTGTTTTTATACCAGTACCATGCTGTTTGGGTGACTATGGCCTTATATTAATAGTATAGTTTGAAGCTGGGTAACATGATGCCTCCAGATTTGTTCTTTTTGCTGTCTTGCTTTGGCTATGTCGGCTCTTTATTGGTTCCATGTGAATTTTAGGAGCTTTTTTCTAGTTCTGTGAAGAATAACGGTGGTATTGAGATGGGAATTGCATTGAATTTGTAGATTGCTTTTGGCAGTATGGTCATTTTCACAATATTGATTCTACCCATCCATGAGCATGGGATGTGTTTCCATTGTTTGTGTCATCTATGATTTCTTTCAGCAGTGTTTTGCAGTTTTCCCTGTAGAGGTCTTTCAGTATTTTGACCTTTTTTTGTGAGTTGCTGTTATGCATTAACAATGGTGCTGAAGCAAGAATATTTAAAGCTGATTTGTCTATAGCTGATTTAATTTAGTTTAATTTCACTGGATTGTGCTGACTATGACCTAAAGCTTATATGTTGTGTTTTATTTATTATTACAGTTAGCTTTTTTAGGGAAATCAGGATGACTTCAGTCTTGGCTATGTGGCTACGGGTGGTTGGCCTTGGGGAGTTTGGGCTATAATCCCAAAAGACACAATCCTGAATTCCATAACCCTAAATGTTGAAATCCAAAAAGATCAGAATCCCTAAAATTTTAAATCCCAAAACCACAATCCCAAAAGATTAAAATCCTGAAAATATAACTCTGAAAACAGTAATTTAAAAGACATTTATTTATATTCCTAAAGGAGAATTTGTTTTGAAAATCTCATAAAAAAACAACAGAACACTTCACAACAGGGAATAATGTCATATATATTTTTGCAAGCATAAACAGGTATACTAACAACAGTCATACGGGTATAACAGTTATAAGCAGGTGAATTATATTCATAAATAAATAGGTCAAAAATCACAATGTACAAATGCATATAACTATAGTTGGTAATTCTGTGCACCCAGTTTTACAAACTGTGGTCATCTGAAATACTGTGACGGTCATGCTAAGTCTCTGGATGAGATCAATCAAGAACCACGATGAGTCACCACCACATTTGCCAGAAACAAGATCTTGAGAAATTGTATCTTTCACAATCACAGAGGTACAAAAATGATATGTTTATTTATCAAGGAGGTTTTGACATTTGTTTATACACACACAATGCTTACACACAAAGTTGTAGTGGTAATGTACCTTCAGGAGTCAAATTTGCAAAAAAACAAAATCCATAAAACATATTAGAACTCTCTAAATGTCTTTACACAGTTTACACGTCCGCTACTAAAAGTGATGCAGAGATTAAATGCATAGCATAGTGAATTGGCACTAGGGGTGAAGGGCAGAAGTGATTCATAATTGAGTAACTTGGCAAGGGAGATTTCTTGTATTTTTTTCCCTGTGTTTTCACTTCTATATTCTTCAAAATACTTGCTGCACTTGTGTTTGCAGAGTCGTTGTGGTCTACACATTGCGTTAAGTATATGCTGTCCATTTAAAAGTATCCTTATTGCTCGGCTGTTGCAATTAAGGGATTGGTGTTTTTGTAGCACCAATAATAATTCACTTTAAAATTTTTATTTCACCATTAAGTAACCTCACACACTTAGCTTATCACAGGCTTTTTTTTTTTTTTTTTCTGGGAAAAAGTTGCCCAATCTCTTCCACTGAGAGTAAAGGAGGAGTACTGGAATATTGTGATGCTCATTAGACACTTAAGATGAAATTTTGAGTAGGAGTTTGGGTCAGGGCTTAAGACATCAATCTGAGAAACCTTAACATGTATTAGTATTGAAAACCATAATGGCATATCATTCCAGTAAGAAGAAATGATACTCAGCTTCCTCAATACCAAATTTATGTTAGTCTAGGTTCTCCAGAGACAGAGCCAATAGGATATGTTTATAGATACATGAGATGGGGTTTATTAGGATAATTGGCTCACGATTATGGTGGCTAAGAAGTCCCACAACAGATCATCTGCAAGCTGGAGATCCAGGAATACTGGTATTGTGGCTCAGTGTAAGACTGAAGGCCTCAGAAACAGAGAAGCCAGTGTTATAACTCTCAGTCCTACGCTGAAAGCCACTGAGTAGGAGAAGGGGGTGGTTGCATAGTTCAAAGGTCCAGGTCTAGATGTTTAATCTCAATTCAGATTTGCAACATTCATTAAAATTTAAAATTAGTGAATGTAAATCTATGCGTTTTGACATGGAAAGGTATGCATTACTTATTGCAGAATAAAATAGAAACTGCCTTGAAATATGTATATCAAGGCAACCTCCATTTTTACTGTGTATATATATTTTAATATGCTATATTATGTATACAGTTTAGCATTTCAAGAGTCAGTGTTGCTGGATTAGACCATAGTGATTTGTTAGGGAGAACCTGGCCAGGTAAGAATGGAGAGGCGGAGGCTCCTCTGACCCCAGGAAATGTGAGAAGAGACAGTGGTTATGAAAGAAAGCAGTCACCCTGTGGCTCCCTACATTCCCCATCAGAACTCGGGGGCATGGAGGGCTCTCTGCTAAGTTAGCGACCCCCAAGGAATGTCTCTGTGCAGGGCACTTCCTCATTAGATGGGATGGCCAATGTGGTTAAGTTGGTGGTCAAGTAGAAAAAAATGATCTAGTTTATACTCTTGAGAGTTCCGTGGTTTGTTCATGGGATGGGCAGGGAGTCAAGGAGCAGCAGCGTTGGCTTGGTGCCTACCAGTGTAGGAAAAGGTACATAGCCTGGGCCAGGGCCCTGGTGGGATGTAGTGGTAACAGAGAGGTCTCTCCATTCCAGCCCAAGGAAGACTGACAGTGAATACCTCATGAGTCCACTAGCTACAACCCATCACAGCAGATTCCAGAAAATGGCTCAGGGTTGGGACCAGGTCATCCCCACTCATCAGACACCAGCCATATAAATCAAGGACCAACAGCAAACAGGGGCATCCCCTTCCCACTCTGCCCCATGTCTCAAGTTGTACTGGCCCTTCCTCCAGATCTCTGCCACTATCTTAGAAAGGACCACTGGTAAAAGAAACTGAAATTATAAGCTGACAGCATAAAGAGGATGAATAAAACCTAAAATCATGGTTCAAATGAATGAATCAAGAGAAGTTTAAACCACTTTGGACTAAAATGTGTGAATCCTTTTCCCTGCTGCCCAGCAGATGAGAAGTTGGTAACAGACCAAAATAGTTTGGAGACTAAAGAATCCTTGCACATTTCACTGCTGAGTTGTATTGTGAGTAATTTTAGTTGACCTCACTTTTGTAAATCTTGCACATATGCATGCATAGCTGTTAACAGAAATGTTAACAGTGGTAAAGCTACATGAGGAGACTGGGGTGATTTTTATTTTTGCTTTTGTGCTCTTCTTTTTTGTTGTTCTTATTTATTCTTACCCTATCATTTTCCAAACTGCAAAAGGTCATTTTGAAAGCCTAATTCAAACCTCTTGACTATTTTGTATATAAATATTCATCTTGATTAAGACTGGGTAGACAGATGAAAACCATATCAGGTTTTTTATTTTTTTATTTTCCAGACTCGGTCTCATTCTGCTACCCATGCTGGAATACAGTGGCACAATCACAGCTCACTGCAGCTTCGACCTTCTGGGCTCAAGCGATTCTCCCACCTCAGCCTCCCAAGTAGTAGGGACCACAGGCATGTGCCACCATGCCTGGCTAATTTTTCTTTTTCCTTTTTGTAGAGACAGGGTCTCACTGTATTGTTGAGGCTGGTCTTGAATTCCTGGGCTCAAGCAAGCCTCCCACCTTGACCTCCCCAAGTACTGGGATTACAGGCATGAGCCAAGGTGCCCTGCCCATACGAGATTTTCTCTCTCTGACCCCATGCAGCTAGTAATCAAGGACTTGGCTGCTGACGCTGGGGAACCTGCATGCTTTCTTGAGTTTTGAACTTTAGTGCTAAAAGCTCATAGGCAGCCCTGAAGCCCAAACAAAAAGGTTCTATGATTTATCATCCTGATCATGTTAATTTTACAGAAATAACAAATGAGTTTAAGACTCAAATTGAGCAAAACTTAAGAGATTTTTTTAAAAGTTTGACTTGTTTTTATATCACTCTTGGAGAAAAGGAAAATAAATAGAAATAATTAATAGTGAGTACAGGCTGCTATACCTTTGTTCTCCAGAATAAGCAGCCCTGTTGCCTTCTTGCTTTAGATGCTGAAGTTTAGAAGGACACTGTCTGTGACTATAAATGTGTAACTGACAAAACGTGTATTTTTTTTCTCAGCTGCTATGGATTGGGTTGTGCTATTAGGAATAAGAATGCTGATCGTAGCACACACAAACCATTTGTTCCTCAAGTCCATTTTCCTCCTCAAAAGCCTGGAATGTATCATTGATCAGTGGGAGATGTACCTGAACAGACCCATGAAAAGACAGCAACAAGTTCCACCCAAGGGACCCTAATTTCACTTGAAATGGCTTCTGATAATCTTTCTTTCATTCCTGCTTCCTACCAGTTTTACAGCTTTTTCCAGTTTCAAATGTGAACTCACATATACTCTCTCATTTATCCTCATGACAACCCCAGTGATCCAATGGTCCTCACTTTGGGCATAAGTAAGGGAGGCTCTGCATTAAGGACTTGTGCAAGGCATCCAGCTGAGGGGTGCTAGGACTGGCTCCATTTCCATCTCGACTCTCACTGACTTTGACTACACAGAACCCCAACGTGTGGGGCCTCAGTATTCCATCAATCATTTTATTAAGAAGCAAAAACAATTCATGGCATTGGCCCCAGTTATTAAGCATTTCTCAGATTTACCTTGAGAAACTTCCATCATCCTGTATATTCACATCTTCACCCTTGTCCTTCCCTCCTACAAAGGAGAAAGTCAGTTGAATGCCCTCCGAGGAACCAGTGCGTGGCTTAACTGTCTTTCCACGACTCCCACCTTTTCAGCTTTCTATTTTCCTCCTTCTCCACTTAAGTCTTTAATTTCAAGAAAAGCAGGCACTGGCCTCAGGGCCCCTGGCATAAGAAATATTGAATCTAATAAGAAATACCTTTAATTCACCCCTCCTGCTCACCCCTTTGTAATGGAGAAGTTCCTAGGGGTTTGCTTTGGGTACAAGACCAGCCTAACTCAGCATCACAAGTAGCTGGAAAAGGAAAGTAACCTAAATGAATGCTGCTTATAATTGTAATAGTTAATTACTGTGATTGTACATGTGCAACAGATAAAAGATGTATTTTTGTCATAGCTGCTATGGAGTGGATTATGCCATTAGGAATAAGAATGCTGTTAATAGCACATGAACCAGTTGTTCCTCAAGTCCATAGCAAAATTTTCAAAAGTTAAATTTAAAAATTGCTACATTTGAATCTAGTGACAGGAGAAATGGACATAGAGACTGAAGATCCAGCCCAAATTTTATATTTACTTGTTAGATAATTTTGGACACATTTCTACATTTCTTCAATAGTCCATTTCCCCATTAACTATAATGAAGGGTACACCATTATGGGGCCCGAGAGAAGCATAGTTACTAGTTATTATAATAATCATTGTTATTATTATTATATATATTTTGCTTTTAAGTGGATAAGGATTTTGAAAGTCATATATAAACTGTAAACCGTAAAATGCAAAATGCCACAAGAGACAGTAGTAATAATAATTATTATGTTATTATCTTTATCCAGCCTGTGTTTTCCTGTTTTGTATTTCTTCCTTTAAATGCTTTCAGCAATCAGTATCCCCATTCTTCACCACCATCCCACATTTCTTTTCCCATCCTGGATCATGCTGCCTTTGAAAGCTTCAGCTCTTTCTTCCTGAACCCCCTCCTGGCACCTCTGCTATGCTTTTTGAAATTCATGTTAAAGAATCCCCAGGCTGCGATCACATGTAGCATCTTTGCTGAGTACATGCATAAATCAACTGCTGTGTTTTACAAAGGGTGATGATGCTTAATTGTGGGATTGTATTTTTCTTCTTTGATCACAGGGAGAAGCGAAATGGCGACCTCACTAGATACGGTTGAGACCTTCGGTACCACGCCCTTCTACTATGAATTGGGTGAGCTCTGCAGAAAGGGCGATATCACAGCACTGATTGCCAAGTTCCTGCCCCCACTGTACTCCCTGGTGTTCATCGTGGGCCTCTTGGGCAATGTGTTGGTGGTGGTGATCCTCATAAAATACAGGAGGCTCCGAATTATGACCAATATCTACCTGCTCAACCTGGCCATTTCTGACCTGCTTTTCCTCTTCACCCTTCCATTCTGGATCCACTATGTCATGTGGAGTGACTGGGTTTTTGGCCATGGCATGTGTAAGGTCATCTCGGGGTTTTATTTCACGGGCTTATATGGCGAGATCTTTTTCATCATCCTGCTGACGATTGACAGGTACCTGGCCATTGTCCACGCCGTGTTTGCCCTTCGAGCCCGCACTGTCACTTTTGGTGTCATCACCAGCATCGTCACTTGGGGCCTGGCAGTGCTAGCAGCTCTCCCTGAATTTATCTTCCAAGAGACCGAAAATGTTCTTCAAGAGTCTTATTGCAACCCTGTGTACCCTGAGGATGAAGCACAAAGCTGGAAGCATTTCTATGCTCTGAGAATAAACATCTTGGTTCTCGCTCTCCCTCTGCTCGTTATGGCCATCTGCTACACAGGAATCATCAAAACACTGCTGAAGTGCCCCAATAAAAAAAAGTACAAGGCCATCCGACTCATTTTTGTCATCATGGTGGTGTTTTTCATTTTCTGGACACCCTACAACCTGGCTCTCCTTCTCTATACCTTTCAAGCCACCTTGTTTGGATATGACTGTAAGCAGAGCAAGGATCTGGACCTAGCCCTACTGGTGACGCAGGTGATCGCCTACTCCCACTGCTGCGTTAACCCGGTAATCTACGCCTTCGTTGGAGAGAGGTTCCGGAAGTACCTGCACCACTTCTTCCACAGGCATGTGCTCGTGTACTTGAGCAAATACATCCCATTCCTTCCTAGTGAGAAGTTGGAGAGAACCAGCTCTGTCTCTCCATCCACAGCAGAGCCGGAGCTCTCTATTGTGTTTTAGGTCAGATGCAGAAAATTGCGTAAAGAGGAAGGACTGAGCACATGAAGCAAACACATTAAGCCTTCCACACTCACCACTTGAACACTCCTTCGAACTTCCAGCGCAACACTGAAGCTCTTGAACACACTGAAATATACACACGGCAGTAGCAGCAGATGCATGCATCCCAAGCAGTGTACTCATCATCAACCCTAAAAAGCAGAGTTTTGCTTCTCAAAGAGTTACATACATTTTAACGCACCCAAATGTTGTTACTATATGCCTCTACAAAAAGGTAAAATTTTTTATATTTTATACCTTAACTTCAGCCAGCTATTGATATAAATAAAACATTTTCACACAATACAACCAGTTAACAATTTTATTTTCTAATGTGCCTAATTCTTTCCCTGCTTGATGAAAGGCTTGTTTTATTCAGTATGAATAAATAATCTTAAGCAACATAACAGCATGCTATTCCCGTTCTAAATATTCTTAATAGTTTATTGATATCCTGTTCACACTGAATGACAGCATTTTCCATGGGTGACTCACAGAGCCCTGAGAGGTGTGTACCGTCCTCTTAATGCCCATCTTACATGGCAGAGGAGGCCAGGGGCCTCCTGTACATATGAAGTAGCCCAGGTATGGGGCAGGAAGGTGTTGGGCTTACAGAGACTCTCTGCACCTCTAGCTCAGTGGCTCTCAAACTTGTCGTCAGAAGCACCTGGAAGGTGTATGACAATGTGGATGGCTGGGGACCACCCCAGAGTTTATGATTTAGCAGATCTGGAATGAGACCCGAGAATGTGCCCAGCATCATTAGCAAGTTTTCAGGCGGTGCTGATGATGCTGGTCCTGAAACCACACTTTTAGAACAACTGCTCTGGCTAAAATGTCTGGACATTCCAGAGTTATCCTTGAAATTGCAGATTTTGGCGTCAGAGGGAAATGTAAAATACTCTTGTGATCTAGGCACTGCCAAGAACAATCACCACTGAGGACAGCATATGTATGATGTCAGTTCATCATAAACCAGTTGGTTTAGTGGGACTTTCTAGTCCATCATTTTTATTCAGTTGAGCTTTTCTTGAGAGCTTGGGCCTACCATGGCCCTAGAAGCTATGGTGGATACAAAAATGAATAAGACTTTGTGTGAGCTGCATCCTAAGCTGGAAAACATGCAACTTATGATGTAAAAGTATCAAAAAAAAAAAAAGAGTAGGAACAGCCCAGGTCTCCATTCCCTTTGCCTTTCCCTAGTTATGGCTTCTAGGGGAAGTAAGTTCTAAGAGGCTGATTAATTTCTGCCTCTCAGTAGAGATCATATATGACTGTGCAATGTGAACCCTGCTAGCTGTCCATCCAACAGCTGTCCGTTAGGTGATCTGGACAGCATGCACAAACACTGCTTCAGGTTAAGCGAAAGATGCAAAAATGTGTAAGACAAGCACAATCCCTGCCCCTATGAAACCTTCAGTCTAGTAGGGGCATAAGATGGAGACAAGCCCCAGTGCAAGGAGGCAGACACTCAGTGCTATGCCTGGGCCAGGAACGGAAAAACTAGTTCTTGCTGGAACCTGAGGGGAGGAGCATTTCATGGAGGAAGTCGCTTTTGAGCAGTTATCTGAAAGAAAGGCAGGATTTAAAAAGGGAGAGGATTTAGGAGAAGGCATCTTTAAGCCAGGGGACTGCTCCACCGAAAGGGGAGAGGGGAGGGCCTGCACATTTGTGGACAGGAGGGTGGCATGGACAGTTTGAGGTGGGCCATGAATTTCACACGAGGGGAGCTATGGAAGGGTTTAAAGCAGGGCAGAAAAACGATGCAGGAAGATACATCTGGTAACGCATAGAGCACGGAGTGGAGGCCCCAGACCATGCAGGAGGGAAGTTAGGGGGTGAGTGAAAGTTTAGAGGCAAGGAAAGATCAGCAGCCGGTAAGAAAGGCTCCAGGAGCCCTCAGAAGAAGTGGACCAAGAGGCAGCATGAAGGATGAGTTAAAGCACTAGGAGGGACACATGGCTGCATGTACAAACCAAAGGGCAAAGCAGAGTGTATCGTATACCTAAAAAAAAAAAAAAAAAAAAAAAAGACACACACACGTTTTACTCTTCACTTAGGTGCATAGACCATCTCTCTGAGGATACGAAAGAAACCAGTAGCAGTGGCTCTCCTTAGGAAGGGATATGGGTGGCTGGAGAACAGGAAAAGCAACCTGACTTTTTGTGCCTTCTGGGTTTTCAATTATGGGGACCTACTACCATTTCAAAAAACAAATAAAACCTTAGAATGATATAAAAAAATAAAAGGCAAAGCTGCTATGCAGATGTTCAGAAGTAGGCGTCTGTCCTACCAGCCGTAAGGACATTAGAAGCTTCCTGTCATGAATTAACCCTGTGACCTGAAACAAATTATTTGGTCTCTTTCAGCCCCAATTTCCTCATTCATATAATTTAAAAAATAGATTAAATCACCTCTAAGGCCCCTTAGTGGCCCAAGTAGACTCTAATCTTGCTAAAATGTTAGGAGCTGGAGACTCTGAGCTTCCAAATCAATGATAAAAAGAAAGGAGGAGAGGAGCGGTGGACAAGTCCACAGCATCACCTCCACTGGTCGTGAGACCACGCGTGGTTCCCACTGTTCGCCCAGGGTACTCATTTCGGTTGCTCATTCGGTCATTTACCATTCAGCAAACATTCGCTGAGTGCCCACCACATTCTTAGCTAAGTCCTGAGGAAACAAACGGGGGCACACCCCCAAGTGTCCAATTCAGCCTGGCGGTGAGCTCCCTGGGGATGTCTAATTCAGTCCCAACTTGGACGCCTCCCGCAGGGAGCTCACTGTCAGACTGAATGGACACTGCTCTTGTCCTCTACTGCCAGAGCTCATGACCATATCTTATAAAGGAATTACCAATGCTTAAATTCAACCCAGATGAAAGTTCTACATGAAGACCAGAAAACATGTTTTACTTCCCAATCCAATGCTTGGAGAAAGGGAGTGCATACTCTTGGCCATCATTCCATCTGTGCTCACCCTCTGGTGAGTGGCCTGGCCTTTCGTCACTGTCATGCACATCTGAGAGCTCTGCATGTTCACATCGACAGAGGATGTGAACTCCGGCATACTCTAAGCCATGCAACACGAATGTCAAGTTGGCTAGGACGCCTTGAAGTACTTCTCTTTTTTGTGGTTCAGCCAAAATGTAAATAAAACAATCATTTAAAAACTGAACTATACATCACTGGTTCTCTCTTGCATTGTGAAGTTGCGTCTGCCCTTAGGTAACCACAAGTGCAGGGTAGAGATGCTTGTTCATACCATACTCCTCTTACCCTTGAAAGCTTTTAGGAGCTTTGTGACTCACACAAACTTCACATAACCAAATCATGAATTGGTGTGTGCTGCTTTGTTCCCCAGCCCAGCTCTGTCCAATAGAACTACAGAAATACACTGAGAGAAATGTTCTGTCTCTGCATTGTCCAATATGATCACCACTAGCCACATGCAGCTACTGAGCACTTGAAATGTGGCTTAGGTGGCTGAGGCATTGAATTTTTAAATTGTATTAAATTTAAATTACTTTGGATTAAGATTTAAATGGTCACATGTGGTAGTGCAGCAGCACCAGCCCCTTCAAATCTGCCTCTGGACCCCTCCTCTACCTATGCATCTGGCATCCCGTGGCCCTCAAACACATGGCCTGAACACTGCACAACAACAGGGAAGATGCTGGTGATGCAAAATCAACGAGATCCATTTCTACAAAACTCACTGTTTGCTGGAAGAGACTTACCTGATTCCCGTGGCTGTAATGAAACGTGGGGGGCGCTGAAAGATACTGCTGCATAGAGTATGATGGAGACACTGAAGAAAGATGCACAGAGAAGGTGTCATTCTGCTTAGATGGGGTTCCTCCAGGCACAGACCCTGAGCAAGGATTTGAGAGCAAAAAGTTTATTTGCAAAGTGCAGGAAACTCCAGTAGGGAAGTGGGGAAGTAAAATAGGGAGGGAGGGGAAGATGCGAACAAGGGTACATTATCAAGCCATTTTTCACAGGAGGTGACTACAGTTAAAGTCACTAGGAAACTCTGGGATACAGTGAAAACACTTCTCCTGATTTGAGGGGTGAGGGAGCTGGGGCATTCATAATCCACTCCAGTCAGTCATTGGCCGAGACTGCTCCTGGGGAGTGTTAATCCCCAGCACTTCCAGCTGGCCTGCTAGGGCGAGTTCTTCCCAGCTTTGGAGAATGTTCCTAGGGCAACAAGATGTAGATGCTGGATGTTGGAAGACAGCTGGGCATGCTTGGTTAAGGCTTGAGAGATAAAGCATTTGCTACATATTTGAACCAGTGTTCAAAGAGTTTTTTCATGAAGCAGAGGGTGGGAGTAAGGATGGCATCCAGGCAGGTGGGTCAGTCTGTGGGAAGGCACAGTGCACAAGAGCGACCCACAGACGCCTGCTGTGGTGATGCCTAGTGTGACACTGGGCAATGGCAGATGCTCTTGAAAGTGCCTCTGTGTTTTCTTCCCTGGCTTCTTTGCTCCGCCTCCTTTTGTTCAGCATTGTAATCTGCTATTTCAAAAGATGATCCCTTTCCAGCTTGAGTTCCTGAGATGTTCTTCAGATTCTGGAGCTAAAATTCTAAAGGCTTCACATCTCCTGAACAAAGCAGTTTCTGGTCCTTTGTAGCCTATGGACTGTAAAGAACTTTACTCTTTTTCTAGTCTCTGACCTAATCCAGGGCTCAGACAAGGACCTGCAGGATAAACTTGGCCCACTGCCTGTTTTGTAAATGAGAGTGTCATTGGAATACAGCCAGTCTCTTTTTTTTTATACATTGTCTGTGGCTGCTTTTGCACTACTATGAGAGTTGAATAGTTGCAACAGAGACTGTATAGCCCACAAATCTTAAAATATTTACTTTCTTGTCCTTTACAAAAGAAGTTTCCTGACCCCTGATAATCTACAGGACTTGGGTCTCTGTAGGCACAGCCATGAGGAGAGAGACTGGGGTGTCAAGGGAAGAACTTGGGTGTGAGGCGTTCAAGCCACTTAAGTCCCCAGGTTAGTTCTTCCTTGAGCCTGGTTGCAGTACAAAGCAAGCAAAATTGGATTGAATTATATATTAGTCAAATGCTGCTCACTAATGCAAAACACTGACAGTATGTACCAAGATATCACATTGAAAGTTTTTATTGAGGCAGTAGGACCCCTTAGATCCTGTATCCCAAAGTAGACTACAAGGGAATTTCCAAATGAATTATAAAAACAGATTTCACAACTCTTGAGACCCCTCACTTATAAGGGGGACAAAGAGATTGGATTGATGGATGAAATTAAAGAGGTATTTGGAAAGTTCTTTGTAGAGGACTACTGGTATTCAGGGGTGCCTGCTTCTCACCTTAAGCCTGGTAATGCCAGTGGCACCATCTGAGAGCTCAGTAGGAGTCACCAGGGTTAAAGAAGCACCATGCATCAGCATCTGACTCACACCCAGGACATCTGGAAACAAGGAACCTGCCAGCCAGCTGCACTGGGGGTGGGGTGGAAGAGAGTCACCACTACTTCGGGAGGGATCTAGACTTCTAGAGATGATTTTGGCCAAGAATTTAGAATTCTTTTCCATGGGCCAAATCCCAGAGAGCTGACTGGAGGATTTCCAATCCTGCCCAGTGGACCCTAGCAGCATATGTGTGTGGAGTGGCCTGCCCAAACCACGGGATGATGGGAAGTTGACAGCCAGGGAAAATGCATTTAAAAAAAAAGTCATAGGAGTTATGTTGAATATTTCCAGGAATGACGCAGATGACCCTACAAAAACAGCCCATGAGAGAAATGATTAACTTGTAAACATCCACTGGCCCCAGAAAGGGTGACATCATCTTATGGCAGGGCCAGTTCAAACAAAAACTTTCCTAACACCAACCCTTTTTCCCTTCCCAGCTTCCATGCAGCGAGAGGGTAAGAATCCATGCTTAGCAAGCTGGGGAAGGGTCGAAATGCTGGACAGAGAGAAAGTCAGGTTTGTGCCCCACTCCTCTCTCCAGCACGTCATGTCCCTCAGACAGCTGGGTGAGCTGGGAAAGCGGGGAAGATTTAAGTGTCAAATCAGATGGAGTTTTGATTATCATACGGGGATCAATTTTTAAATTTTTGAATTGAAATTGTCCTTTTGTGACCACAGATGATCCTGGGACTTTTTTGTACCTAAGCATGAT